TGTTTATTGTAGATTATCTTCCAGTATCCAACGATACGGTAATTGGGTTTTGATTTTTTGCTGTAGATTTTGATTGACGAGTATTTGTTGAACTTTTTTTAAACAAAACAATGTTGTTCATATTTTTATAAGCGATTTTAAATTATCAACTTATTTGTTGTATCAAGCAGTATAAAGTAGTTGATGACTAATTATTTTACAAACAAACACATAACATAACATAACGCCTTTTATCCCCGAAGGTGTAGGCAGAGGTGCACACAGAAGTAACACTCACTTTTCACTATTTATGTTATGAGTCCCATGTAATAGGGGGTGAGCCTATTGCCATATACCGGGCACATTTCCAGGCTCCGTGCTACTACTGAGAATTTTAAACTCAGTAATACTTTGCCCGACCCGGGAATCGAACCCAACACTCCTTGCCCGGCATTCGCACTTGCGACCACTCGGCCAACGAGAACGTTCTCCTAAATGTAACGAACACTTTTTTGAACACCACATCAAAATCGGTGCGGCCAATCGCGAGATATGCGCGCACAAACAAACTTACACACATACATACAGGTCAAATTGAGAACTTTCTTTGTTTTAAAGTCGGTTAAATACTAAGAGGTAGAACTACACATACATATACATTACATCACGACTTTTATCCCCGGAGGGGTAGGCAGAGGTGCACATTATGCCACTATACAATGTAACACCCAGTTTTCACTATTTATGTTATGAGTCCCATGTAACCCCTATTACATGTTGAGTGAATCCTATGTAATAATAGTAGAACTATACCTTTCCTCTTTATATCTTTGACACGATATATATTATGTATAAGTAGCCTTTATGTATACATTGAATAAAAACATGACTTTCTTACAAGGCCCTTCATTATTAGCTTGTAATCAGATCGTGAATCCACGTGTACACGGCCACACATCAATCTATACAAAACCAGTTTATCCTGGTTTCGCGTCGCATCATTTTTCCGTTCATGTAACGTTCGGTTTATACTGGTTATGTAAAGCTCGATGTGTAGCTGTGTGTACGAGTTAAATATCCTTTAAGATGTTATATATATTGAGTTTTCTGTTATACATTTTTTTTGTCTAGCTTCACTTACATTTTGTTCTCTAGATACTTGGACTATTATGCTTCAATTAAATAAAAATCACAACGATAGCAACTAGAAAATAAATCGCTCCTAACTAACTCTAAAATGTGTCATTTTCAAATAAATTCTTTCTATAGATCAATGAATTTGGGGTCTTTACCTACTGACTTCTCGTAGCCAGCAACTTTGGTTTATCAAACCCAACTTAATATAGATAAAATGTCAAATACTTCAATGAAACCCAAACTGCTGATCACGATACAAAAACAACAAATAACATTCTACTATAAACCCAGGTCAAAGAATAAAACTGAACCTATTTCCCCGATTACAAGAAAGGTTACAAACTCAATAACACTAAAATAACAAAGGATAACAAGTACAAAATCTACATGTTTTTATTTAATACCCGGATTAGGCTGCGGGCAATTTACTTTGCTCTATTACTCGTACAGAAACCATTTGCGGATAAAAGCAACATAATTTTTAAATCCACCCAAATCCTATTTGCATGATTACGAACGATACACTATCCGAGCTTGGCCTTAAGAGATGCCTTCTAAACAGTACCTACTCGTATATACGAAAGCGGATTGTTTCAATATCGACTCGTATGAATTATTTATATGTATCGTTGCGACTGTACCTTACTATGCTCGATTCGAGTGCTCCTGGGCGTGACTTGACTCTTCTACAGAAGGGTTTCTTGTGAAATCTATTGAGTGGGCTCCAAACTCAGACCTCTGACGGACAATACCAATATACCCGCTGTTTTATCAGCTAAACCTTTTCGTATAATATATACTCTTAAAGATCTCATTTCGATACAATTTGTATGAGTTTTGAGTTGTATCAGCTTTTCAGTCGTAGCTCTAGCGAGATACGGCATACGGGATACGGGATAAAATGTTTGTTTCCCAACTTCTATTTGGGATCTTGAGAAATGTGAGCGTTTTTGCATTTTAGGTGAAGATGCTTCAAGTACCTTACTTCAAAGGAATTTTCGATAAATCAAGGAAAGCGTGCCCTGAAGGAAAATAGGTTGCGATACATACATACTCGTATATTATTTAAAACATGCGTTTGTAAAATCCGCCAGAAATAACCCAATTATTTTATAAGCAAGCGAAATGCTTTGCAAAATGAAGTCGGATCAAACTATAAAATTATATGGGAAGTGTTATGCCTTAAATGCTCATAAAGGAATCCGTTCGAACATTTCAAACAACAATTTTTAGTTTATTAGAATAGAAATTACCAGCATTTGCGCTGGATCAATATTATAGCGTCGCGTAACGTGTATTTGTCATCGATATAATCGTGAAACATTAATGGAATCAACGATTACTTACATCGAAGCTTCGTAAAACGATTTCTGGGCCTTTTATCGAGGTTCCATAACAATCAGAAACATGAGGTCATTGTCCTAAAATATAAAGCTGTAATAACGTTTTCCGACACGTTAATCCCAGTCCAATTTTTCAAACCCCGAATCTACCACCTCAAATCTCTGATTAAACAAAAATAAAAATCAAATTATGCCATCGTCAATACGTGTTGTGGTACAAAAATTTAAAAACCTCCTGTGTTTTATGTTAATTAACGTTTGTTTTTATTTGAAAACGGTCCGCCATTTTGCGGGTGGCGGGTAAAATGTTAACTTTTTAAATCGTGAGCACGGCGAAGGGGTTTCGCTTGCGCTATCTTCTTTATAATCTATGAAATTGGTCGACCTCCGTACCGTAGGAGTGAACTCGCACTTACGTAAGACTTTGCAATGTTTGCCGAGCACAAGAGCAATTTTAATGAATTTTGTGTGCTTGTAATTAGGCGATGTCTGGACCAAAAGGCTTAGTCGAGTGTTTTTGTATGAAATTGAGTTCACTCAATTCAGAACCTTGTTATGGGTGGACAAGAGGGTTAATGACCTATTAACGCTCTCCGGAAATCTACTTTCAAGGACAATGGGATTTTGTGTTTACAATCGTCTTATTTTCCTTTTACTATAGGTTGACTATTATGAGTTGCTACATTGTTTTACTGATCATAAGCAAGTATGAGAGAAGAAAGAAGAAGACGAGTGCATAATGAATTTTATTGTGGCATAATTCTGTTAATAATATTTAAGTCCGTTAGCATTTACTTAAGCAATCGCAGACTCAAAACAATTGAGGAAACTATTCTTTCAACGTTTTTTTTTTATATAATATATTGTAGTATTTATGCAGTAGGTATAAGTATTTGTTTAGTAGTAAATATTATATGGTATGTTTATGTCTATACAGATTTATAAAATATTGTATTAATATATTTATTCTATTGGTTATTTATGTGTGTAGTATACATATTACATAACTTTTTTTTTATTTTTTCAATTGTGTTCTGGCTTCGCATCAACCACTTCATTTCTCTGCACTTCCCTATGGTTGACTGTAAGAGAATGCTTTAAGGCATTAAGTCCGCCATTCACTGTTGTATTTTGTGAAGAAGAAAATAAATAAATAAATAAATAAATTTAAATCGTAAATTATTTCGATTTCTTTCAATGAGTGAAAGCTATAAAAAAGGAATTATTAGGAATAAGCACATTAACCACGAAAATCGAAAGTAATTTTACACCAGGTGGCCTAACCTATTGCATGAGACTCATAACAAACATAGTGAAAAGTAGGTGTTATTGTACTGTACACCTCTGAATACCCATTCGTAAATAAAAGGCGTGATGTTGTGTTATGTGGCTTAACATTCTTACTGCCGTATATTTTAACGTAGAAAAAACAGCTATAAGTAAAAAAACAAAACTCGAAGGTAATATAATGTTGTTTTGAAAAAATCTGGGGAATGTTCTAACATGTTTTTGTTTGAAGATCCTAGGGGCTTACTTGTAAACGACTGTATATTCGTCATACCTTTTTGCTTCTATTTTTGCCTTATTTCGTTTAGTGTTTCATGTTTTTCTTTTGTTTTTGCGTTTTGGTAAAATATTGCCATTTTTTTGTTTAGTATTGGTAGCAATAAAGTTCGTGATATGGTGAATGGTAACCGGTCACCGTCGCTTTTAACATCGATTTTTCATTGCATTATCTGTTTTCAACGCATTATATAAAATTTCAATGAAATGTACTAACTTTTTTAGTTTTAGTTAAAACCTATGATACCGAATAAATATTATTTTTCCAAATCAACATTCATGAAACGAAACCTTTTATCCTAAATAAATGGAAAACCGAGATAATTGGAAAAGTTTAACGTAACTCCCAGTGCAACGCAAATTGTCAGAAATGTGAATTTGTAATGAGAATATAGGTGGCGGTAGTGGTTACGGAAAACTAAAATAATAATGATGTGAATGTTGAAATAGGAATTTGGAATTATTTTGTTTTAAACAACTTTTTATTTGTTTTTGGTTACTTATCTATTTTGACCAGTACTCTATCATCTCTCTCTCTCTCTCTCTCTCTCTCTCTCTCTATATATATATATCTATCATAATTTATGAAAGTAGTTTATGTTTCAAGCAGGTAAAGGTATATGTATATATATCAATATGAATGTAAACTTGTTATTGCATTATCTTGCTCTTGTATCTGATTGCCTTTTATAGATTTAATAAATTGGAACAGAAACCCATTAATAATTACAGACATTTATTTTTTTTATAAACGATTCCACCCCTTACTACTATATTTATGTCGCGGAGAACCTAACGGGTAACTGGGGCTCCGGCTCGACGTGCAGGAGAAGGAACGGGGTGGTTTTTAGTCAGTAAGAGTCTGACACTCCCTTTCGCCTCACCCAGGCGGGAGCAGTCATTCGATGATTTTCCCCCCATAAAAAAATACTGCTATATTTATATATACAACTTACAAATAAACAAATTAATACTTACAGCACGATGTGTAACAAAAGAAGTCCTTCCTTGAAGTCTAGCACTAACTTTAGCTGGAGTATCTTCATCTTCTCTTCTCGGATTGAACCACCCGAAAGCAGCACCAACAACGAGAACAGCTCCTAAGATCATGAGAGCCAAGAATCCACCAATAGCAGCTTTCGTCGTCTGCGAAATTACCATCGCCATCTTGGATTTGTCACTTGTACTATCACCTCATGCTATGCAACGATGACGTCATTCGATCCGTTATGAATTGGTTTTAGTTATAGTTGAATGGTGCATCGTATTTATAGCATTTTATTGTGAGTTAGATGATGTTATCTGTAACAAGATAAAGTTGGATTTTAGATTATGGTACCATGTTAATTGATTTTCTGTAAACAAATAAAACCGTTGTCTAAATCGTTCGTGATGTACATATGAGCCACATATTGTGACAAGACGATACATAATTAATTCAGGAAAATAATCATAATAAAGACTAAAATTTCGGGATGTGAGATAGTCGTCTAGTAGGTATAATACTCTACAGTATCTATAGACACACAATTTGCATAAAACACATAGGATAAGAAATAATATTTACACTAGATATATAAAACATCTTTTTTTATTTTTTATCTTCAAATTATCATAGATGCGGACGCTCTATGAAATGTAAGGTTTGAAGCAAGTGCTAAGTTCTCAAAATAAACATTTTGGACAAGTTTTTAGTTGACTATCTCACATTCCGAGGTCAAACGCTTTTTTTCTTAGGTCCTAGGGATATAAAAAACAGGAAATATTTTATAAAAATACTATAGTCTTCGTACAAAAAGATTTATCATCAAACGTATAGCAAGTAACGTTTTATTCAACAAGAAATTTTATCGATGCTGTAAAACAACATTGATTGTCAATCCTCTCCGCGTATACGGCACTAAAAATACTGTTATATGACCAATCAATACAGTTACTGCAGAATTCTGTCGGAAAAAATGTTGGCGGGACGGCCAAATAAATTCCAAGGAGACGAACGTAAATACAAATACATATTACTGATACATACAAAGAGAATCTAATAAATCGTTACACCACAAGACCGATATTAATCGCAAGCTATACAATGCTACTATAAATTGCTTTATGCAAATTGTGTCTGAACATAATATTCAATGTACCTGTTGTCAATACAAAGGTACGGGATCGGAAGGGAGGGACAGTCTGACGTGGTATTGTATGCAAGGAACTCGATAACCTAGATAGAGAAGTAAATAGTAGCTGCGCAACAAAGAAAATGTACCAGTAATTGTGTGTTTATGTAATACAAATGATATGGGTCGTTGTTAGGTTCGGCTAGCACCTAATCGTGTGTAAAGGTGGCGGAATTTTGTGTAAAAAAAATATTCTCGTGTCGAAGTTAGAAAAGTTTGTGAATAGAACGCGTGACTTATTACTGGTTATCTGGAGGTATTTTAGCTGGGGTTTGTTGTGTATTTTTGGTCTGGTGCGTTATATAATAAATTATACTTTAACTAGCTTTTACCCGCGGCTTCGGTCGCGTCACATAAGAATAAAAAGTAGCCTATGTGACATATACCAATACACACAGCGCCATCTATACCAATACTTTTGTTTTCCCTCGGGAATATCAAATTTTTCCGGGATAAAAAGTAAAAAGTACTCTATTATTTAATCCAGACTTCTAACTTTACGTCTGCAAAAATTCAAAGCAATCGGTTTAGTAGTTACGGCGTGAAAGCGGAACAAACAAACAAACAAACAAACAAACTCACTTTCCAATTTATAATATTAGTAAGGATAAGACTGACTCGTTGACCGAGTGGTCGCAAGTGCGACTGCCGGGTAAGGGGTCTCGGATTCGATTCCCGGATCGGGCAAAGTATTACGGGGTTTTTAAAAATCTCAGTAGTAGCACGGAGTCTGGAATTGTATCCCGTATATGCCAATAGGCTCACCCCCTATTATATGGGACTAATAACATAAATAGTGAAAAGTGGGTGTTACTTCTGTGTGCACCTCTGCCTACCCCTTCGGGGATAAAAGCCGTGATGTTATGTTATGTTATACTTTAATGTGTAAAAATTTTTTATCTACTTATTTTTTAACCATAGGTTTAATTATTATTTCGTTTTATTACAGTTTAATTATATACTACTAAAAATGTTTTGCTAACATATTTGTTTCCATCATTTTTTTATTTTCCTCTTAGAGTAAAATATTGTATTACGTTCAATCATTCATTGGACATGATGACTATCAAAACGAATGTGATTTTTCAATCCATTTAACAAATTATAGATCTCATTAAAACATTTTGTCAAATGTCTGTCCTTTAAAACACTAGAAGAACTAATTTAAGACCAACGTTTGTAAGTCGTTGATAATATTATAATCTATGAACCAATTACAATGTTCTCTTGTTTCCAATTCTCCGATAAAATATGTTCAATATTATACTGTTTCTACATATTCTCTTCTTTTAAAACATAAAACCTATACCTATTATTATAACGTACACAATATAGAATGAAGGAGAGCGTAAAGCTTGCTTGTCAACTTAAGTAGTAAAAGTCAACTGCGGCGTTATTGTGTTGTTCGCGTGCGACGGCCTAGAAACCTGTCGCCTGTGATCTTTTCCAACACGTTAGTACTGCAATACCAGGGGAATATTGTGCGAAATGTTGCGTTACTTTCAATCTTTTGGTTTAAGATAATATACATAGACTTAAAATGTATGCTAGAATTGATTTCTGTGAATATATACATATATATATATTTGAATTTCATTTACTTTTTTTCAACTGCCTCGTTCGCCGAGTGGTCGCAAGTGCGACTGCCGGGCAAGGTCTCGGGTTCGACTCCCGGGTCGAGCAAAGTATTACTGGTGTTTTTTTTAATTATCAGTAGTAGCATGGAAATTTGCCCGGTATATGGCTATAGGCTCACCCCCTATTACATGGGACTCATAACATAAATTAAATAAAAATTAAATAGTAAAAAGTGGGTGTTACATTGTATAGTGGTATAATGTGCACCTCTGCCTACCCCTTCGGCGATAAAAGGCGTGATGTTATGTTATGTTATGAATTTCATTGACGCCTGAATACGCGTAAATGCTAACTATACAATATTAAACGCTTATCAATTATAAGTCGCGCTTAAGTATAGTTCTGTCCGGAGCCGCGGAAGGCCTAATGGGTTGCCGGGGTTCCGGCTCGAAGAGCAGGAGTAGGAACAGGGTCGTTTTTAGTCAGTAAGAGTCTGACACTTCTTCTCGTGTGTGTGTGTGTGTGTGTGTGTGTGTGTGTGTGTGTGTGTGTGTGTGTGTGTGTGTGTGTGTTTATTACTCTTTCACGTCAAAACGGCTGCAGGGATCGAGATAAATTTTAGTACAGAGGTAGATTATGGTTTGAAATAAACAACACATAGGCCAGTTTCTATCTCACGAGCACGCGGAAGATACCGTTGGCTTCTGCCAACGCAGCGGAATTATGCAGTACTACCTTCTGGTAGTACTGCATAATTCTGCGTTCTGCGATGAAAAAGTAATGGTATGGTCTTACAATGTCGCGGAGAACCTAACGGGTAATTCTGCGTTCTGCGATGAAAAAGTAATGCTATGGTCTTACAATGTCGCGGAGAACCTAACGGGTAACCGGGGCTCTGGCTCGACGTGCAGGAGAAGGAACGGGGTGGTTTTTAGTCAGTAAGAGTCTGACACTCCCTCCCGCCTCACCCAGGCGGGAGCAGCCATTCGATGATTTTCACCCCTTTAAAAAAAATGGTCTTACAATGTGGTGACGGTCGCAAACCCACACCTTTAAAGCGAAACTCGACAGATTACCTAGAAGAATGATACGCAATATTCTGCCGCTTGTTCGCAAGTCACACTTCCGAGGGTGAACGCTCTTAAAACGAACATGACATTATACAAAATAATGTTAAAAGAGCCTTGAAATGTTACTCAGTAATTCTCAGAGAACGAAAGCTACAATTAATATGCCTCGTGCAGGAAACTTATTAAAATTATCCCATTCATTTACTTTAACAAAAAACCGTATAATAAAAACTCACATTGCGTAGGCACCAATGTACTTACCTACATGTTGTTATTAATATTTCATTGAAATTAATTTCTGACTAATATCTACGTTACATTGTAGAACGCTAAGTTTTGAAGGTATTTAATAATATTAGGAATTTCAGTGAATCGTTTCGGTTTGCCCTGTAGTAAATATTTGTAGAATTGGTAATATAAAGTTAGGTTTTGGACTTGAAATGTAAAATGTAAACATAATAATGTATTACTCTTACTTCATAACTTCAGACGACTAATATATCTAAACTCAGATTAAATACAATATTGTTATAAAAACACCACAAAAAGCTATGTCGAGGAAAACTTGACTAGAGTAAATATTATCGGTTATCAGCTACGGCAGTGTAGCTCTCGTAATCGTGACATTATCGCGTTTGCTACGTCGTAGTCCGTAACCGTACTACGGCGTACGGTTCGTAGCCACTACATAGCAACTCTGTTGACAGTCAATTTAATATCCTAAGTTAATTAATTGTCACTGCGAATTTCATTTAGATTCATAATGAGGAGTGCCTAGAGTTCCCTAAGATAGTGAATTATTAAATCTGATTAGTTATAAAATCATGGCAATTCTTCGTCGGTTGGTTGAGTTCCGTAGTTAACCCAGTTTTCGCTTGGTTTATTGATATTGCCATGCAATAAGGGGCAAAATTATGGCATAACATGGGTATATGATATTTTGTTCCGTGTCCTATCTAAAAAGAAAATTCTGGCAAAGTTCTCAGAGGCTTACTAAAAATCTCTAACTTTTTTTATTTATTTATTTATTTAAGCTTTATGCACAAAGTGTACATAAGGTGGTTAAGTCCACCGCCGTAGCCGTTTGCCGCAGGCATTTTCTCCCAGTCTGACCTTTGAGTGATGCAGAGAAGAGTTTATATATAATTATTTAAATAAATCCTAGTATGGGTTGCCCCATACTAGGATTTTCTCCTGTGTCGTGGGTGCGTTTACAAACATAAAAAATCACAAACACATGACACCCAGACCCGGAACAATCACCGATCACACGAAGAGTTGTTCCGTGCGGGAATCAAACCCGCAACACGTTGCGCGGTAGTCTACCGTAATTCTTTAAAATCTGGTTTTAAACCTAGAATGAGCACATATATGGCACATCGTTATTTATAAACGTAAATTGGCCGTATGCTCCCCGTATC